ATCTCTGTTGTCCTTTCTGAAGAGAGGTTAAAATTATACATCACGATTTTCCCCTTTTTTTCATTTTCAAAAACTTTGTGAAGCATTACGGGAAATCAGCACCGCACCCGCGGTGTGTGTAATTAAGCCACATCACAGAAAAATTAGGAATGACGCATCACATACGAAACATCTTTACAGTGCCTCACATCTAGGCGCTGATCGTAAAATAAACGTCTATAAAATGTAAATGACTGAAAATAAGAATCAATGTGAAATGTAATAACTTTCTTACGCTTCATAAATATTCCTGTATGTACCATATTTTCTCACCTGTTAGTTTAGATATACTTCACCAACCAAGGATTTCCTTTTCTTATCGCTCTTTTTTGAAATGCAGCAAATGTAATTTCTAGTTTGAATGAGAAAAAGCGGATGCAAAACTAATTTTTAGCTTTGATGTCTCAAGTAAGTGTATTTGAGACAAGAAACCAATGGAATTATCATCAAGACAGACTATCAGCACACAAATGAAATGAAATGAAATGAAATGAAATGAAATGAAATGATATGAAATGTTTATTATTCTTAGTCCTAAAGCTACTTCCTATAGTTTATAATAGTGTCTTACTCCAGTAATAAACAAAAAAACAGTAATTCTAGATTCCCTTAAAATCATAGTAACTGCAACCACAGTAAATGCAACAATAGCAAATGCGAGATAATGACATACAGTTATCTTAACACAGAAAGTACATATATTATGCCATTTTATCTAAATACAATTGCTTAACCTTACGAATAAATATATTTACAGATGTCGCTTCTCTAATTTCTGTAGGTAATGCATTATAAAGTCTCAAACCATCACTAAAAAGACATTTTTGCATATGGGATGTTCTAGCGAATTCTATGTCAAAAGTGTTACGTGACCTGATATTATATGCATGCCTCTCGGACCTCGGTATTAGATATTCCTGCAAGTATTCAGGCAATAAATGATTTTTTGTTTTAAAAATAAATAAGACATTTGACATTTCAACCTTTTGCTGTATTGAAAGCCATCCGAGGGTTTTTAACATTAAAGTAATAGGCGTATAACGTGTACAAAATAATATAGTGCGCATAGCCTTATTTTGTAGTAACTGGAGCCTTTGAATATCAGTTTTTTTGCATGATAGCAACAATGAAAAACAATAATTAAAATGTGGATATATGATGGTATTATATACAAGAAGACGACTCCAGTGACTAAGACTTTCAGATATTCGCCTAAAAAATCCTATTTTTTCCCAATTTTTTTACTAACATAATCAACATGCAATGAAAAATTTAGCTGAGGATCTAAAACTACGCCCAAATACTTCATACTAGATGCACTTTCAATTTGAATATTATCTAACTCAATACAAAATTTCTTTTCTAAAAATGTATTACAGTTCTGCTTTGTCCCAAAAACCATGTATTTTGTTATTTCTACATTCAACTTAAGCCTATTCACACATAACCAGTTATACAGAATTTCCAGTATTGAGTTCATACTATCTACAACTTGTCTAAAATCCTTACCGTACACATAAAGCAATGTATCGTCTGCAAATAAGCTCAGAAATGTATTTACTAAAACCCTGTTCAAGTCATTTATATAAAGTAGGAACAACAAGCGGGCCCAACACACTACCCTGAGGTACCCCAATTTCACTATCAATTGAATTTGACGCCACGTTACTAATCTTCGTCACATGACAACGGTCTTTCAAGTAGTTCATAAACCATTTTAGTGCACTGTCTGTAATCCCATAGGTCTGCAATTTCTGGATCAGCCTTTTCCTATCAATAGTCTCAAATGCACGTTGAAGGTCGATGAATACACTTAACACAATATTCCCGTCATGAATGTATGAACGCCATTTCGAACACACATACTGCAGCGCCGACTCGCACGAGTGTTTTTCCCGAAATCCCGACTGTCCCTTAAACAACAGTTTTCTTGCCTCCAGAAACTCCCGTAACTGCGCACAAACCACGGTTTCCAAGATTTTGTCTATCACTGGTAACAAGTTAATGGGTCGGTATTGTGCTGGTTTATTTGGTGAGGACACTTTTGGAATAGGCACTATAACACTAGTTTCTATTGCTTTTGGAACTTTTCCTGTTGTAAGGGATGCATTGATCAAATCCTCACTATGCACCTATGCACTGCCGCTTCATCCAACCTATAGTATACCACTTACACCTCAGACCTCCAGTTGCAAATGTTACAACACATCAGATACAAGCATTGATACCTGAAGCATCATGACCTTTAGGCAACACGTACAACTACGAAACGAGTGTACAACAACAAGTGTACAACAGCTAGTACTAACTAATGTACATAATGTCACAAAAACTTATATAATGTCAAAAAAAATACTAACATAATGTCACTTTTCAGGTCACGTAGTACCCCTACGGGTGTTAGTTTTAATCATTTACACTTTGACAGCATACATTCCCCAATATAAAATATCTTGGTCTTAAGCAGAGCTACATCAGAAGGATTTTGTCATTCGCCATAAATCTTCGAAATTCCATCAACTGATATTTTTTTATTCGATTAATAACCACAATGCGTTATGGCTACGTTTTTTCTTATTATAGTATATAATTTTCATGTTGTTGTTTTTCTTGTTAAGCGCTGGTAGAAAAATGTAGTTTAATTTGTAGTTCCTAACTTTTGCAGAAGGTATCTTTTCCGCACGCAACGGTAGTTGCCCTAAAGACGCGGAGCGTGCGGAAAAGTATCACTTTCCGCACTTGTTCAATATACTTTTCAGCCTAGTGTTTGTCACGCGACCTGCAGTTAGGAGTTGTAGAAAGAGGTGCAATATCATATTGTTCACATAGTCTGGCAACAATGCTTGTACCTCCAACAACGTGTGTATTATTCTATCTGTCCAGCAGAACAGACCAGGATCCTTAATTGTTTTCTGGCGCTGTGGCAGTGCATTTGCATTGCTAAGGGCCTGACTGATAGGTGTCAGCTCTACCTCACGCCTCGTAATGAGTTCTTTGCGCCACACTCGCGGAGTAGAATGGTCCTGCTACTCCGAAGAGCGATCTACATTGGATTACTGGTGTTTTACAGCTGTTTAGCTCGAGGAAAAAAAACAGTTGCTCCTAATGACCTCACGATGAGATGTGCATGACGGTTTGGATTCAGAGAGGTATTAACAGAATAAGCAGATCCGTAGCGCGGTTATTCTTCTGAAGGAACTGTAAATCAAACGTATATGTAATCTCCAACGTTTGTCTTGCCAATCAAACTATTTGTTTTTAAAATTCTTCTTTATTGTATACGTAAAAGGTAAACGAATGAGACTATATAAAATTAAACAACAATGGTCTTTCTAGTTCTTCTATGGACTGTGACTCAATTTTGTTGAATATCCCTGAAGGAAAGATCTAATTGATATTCTTCAACCTAACTAATGGACCATGGGTGCTTTATCCAGGGTTTTTCTCATGATATTGTCAATGATCCTTGGTACATTTGTGATAGCGAGAGCGGTTTTTATTAGTAATTATGAATGAAAGTATAATCTCGTGTTATTTTTAATTTATTGTTGGCTAAACATCAAGCTCCAAAAATAGAGGCCCTGTCATGCATCTTGTTACACGCCACTGAGTTTTCCCCAGCCGACCAGGTGGCCCCGAAGCGGGCGAAGTGCGAGGTGCGATTTAGCCGCAAGCCATCCGTGCTACGGCTATTCGGAGAGATCTAGAAGGCTAATCTTCGCGCTGGCTAACAAGTTGTCTGTCAACGGCCACCATGACGTCCGTCGCGGAGTCGCGGTTCGCCGAGGATGACCGTGGCGATCGTCGGACGTTTCTTCCAGGCGTTAATCATAGTGTGTTTATGCCTGACGCCTGTTTGTGCCCGCATTTATTGGTTTAGTTCTGTATCTCACACATTTTGTTTTTCAAATAGAAATCACCATTGATCTCAAATCAAGGATTACAAGGAATGGAGATGAACATTTTAAAGAAACATCAGTCATAGCCCTTTACATCATTTAAGCCCATGTCTTGGCTCAGGCTCAACATGGGCTCATGAAAGAAGTGCATATAAACATAACTTCAAAAATGCCTCGTAGTCATGGTACGTGTTTTCTTTTTAAGTCCCATTTATTGAAAACTAAAAAAAAAACTAAGATTGGTTTTAGGACATGAACATTCTAAGGTTTTTTACATTTACACGTACAAAATTAAAATATATCGCACGCCGCGGATGACCATGGCGATCGTCGGACGTTTCTTCCAGGCGTTAATCATAGTGTGTTTATGCCTGACGCCTGTTTGTGCCCGCATTTATTGGTTTAGTTCTGTATTATGCTATTATTGGCTTTGCTCAGGTGATCCTTTTCAAATTTTATTATGGGATCAGTGTGACACCAAACGATGAATGATATTTTGCCTGTTCAGTTTTACTAATTGGGGAATATTATAAGACTGCGTTGCCAGAAACTGTAAACGTTTCAGGCCTTTTTATGTTTCAATACCATGAACTATGCAAATCTGTGTTTCATTTCTTGACCTGTCGATTGAAGCCTTATCTTCCTCGTCCTCTAAAAGCCATCCAGGCTATGGAGCAAATTGTTCAATAAATTTTATCGTCTATTTTTGCAATTTTTGATATACCCGCCTATAGGCTAGTTCATCAGTCTCCGCCCTGTGTGTAAAAATCCCCTCATTCATCTAATGTGAATCCCACATTAGTGGTACTTGCCACATCACATCACGATAGGTATTGTCGGCTAGGAGTTTATTTCTAAGAATATTTTTGTATAATATGAATATCTCGCTTCGATCTCAACTCGCTTGTCTCATCTATGTAGATTGATATCCAAAAATCAATAATCTATCTATCATCAGGAATCAGTTCACCAATCCAGGCTTCTTAGCAAGCTGTCGCCCACCCCCTGCAACCAGATGGTCCATTTTCATTTTTAACCTTTTTAGCCGATTAGAGATTTTGCATGCATCCAGATCTAGCAGATCGGTTAGTGGACTCCAGTCATTATCACGCGAAGATGCTTCAAGTCGTAGAACCCAGACCTCATCATAAAAGATGTTCCACAATAGTCCTCCCAAGACGAAGCTCTCTGTAAGTCTTGTCTCAGTGAGATCCCTTGCCGTTTGTATTTCTGAGACGGCTTCTACGCTAACTCCACGTAACTTACAGGATGAGTGGAAAAATATTAAAACGGGAGCAGCTGGAGTACCTTAAACCCCATAGATTCGACTGAGAACTGTGGAGTAAACCCATCCAGACATATAGTGAAGCTCATGTCGTTGCCCTTGATATCGCGCAAGCGTGCAATCAGCCGTGGCATGCTGCCGTCTCATGCAAACTTCCATCCTACAGAAGCTTTGCAGATGGGTGGCAGAGAGACTCAGTCATAATTGACGGGTTATCTTCTTCATCCCACAATATTAAGTACTTTTCTCTACATAAGCCCCTCACTCTAAAAAAAGGCGTCTGCCATCTTGATTACATTATCTATGCTGGATACTCGGCGAAGGAGTGCTGTCCGACTGATCGATCACTTTCTCTAACGGACAGTATCGGGATGCTTTCGCGCCGACTAGCCGTTGGTGATCTACCTCTCTTCTACTGCTACGCCAATGGGCTTAGCTTCTCAGAGTTCTCCTACATAAAGCCGTCACACAGTGTGCATGTCAGACAGACCCGTCTGACTTCGGCCGTCCAGCCTGGCCTTGTCAAACTTCGTACACCCAGAATTGGCAGATACGATTGCTCCTTTATTCATGGGGTCAGAGCGGTTCGTGGGGCCATAGCTTGCAAGTCTGTTAGGTCTGGTAACCCATAAACCAGACACTGGTCCTCAGCATCTTTCTTCAAACTTCATGGTTCTTCATTCTACCTACGCCAATGATTCTATGTAGCCCCAGGAGCAACCAATATGACGCGTATACTGAGAATCGTAAAACGAATAATATTCTAAATTGAAAATTCGCGATGCAGCGGACTATGGTGGAAGTCTGGAGGGGGAAGTAGCAAGAGAGGGAAATCCAGCCAAGTCGAGTATATGGGTATTTCTCCTGCATCGGTGGATATTGCATTCGCAGATAAGTGTAAATAGGCGTGAATGGGAATTTTATTTGTATTTATGTTTGCATTAGATTCCTATTATATGCATCGCTGGGCACTGATCGTTTGCAGCATTCGCGATCTCAGAGCGGTTTCGGTCGCGATAATTAGCATAACGCTGCTGCAGGATACAAATGAGACGTTACCTGTGTTCTTGGCAACAAGACATCGACGATGGAACTGGTTATCAAATTCAGCAGTACGATAAACGTGGCTAGCTTTTGACTAAATTCATTCAACTTACAAATCTACCGGATGTTTGTAATTTGACCATCACCATTGGGATCACTACAAGTTACTAAACCAGTAAGAAGAGGGAAAAGTTGCGCATTTAGGCCCAGTTTCACCAAAACCATTCTCATTTCGGATTACCTAGTCGGGGATAAAAATAGCCGGGGCGTTTTAATGATAATTATAATGATGCACCAGTCGAAAATAATTCAGGGCTTATTAATCCTGAATAAGTTTAAAACATTACTGTAACCCCACTTTTCACATAAGACTTTTATGCTTTTGGAGTTGTTTGTTGTTGATGATGGGTAAATAAAACAAATGGAACGTAGAAAGTTTCAAAATACTTCCGGAGATAGACGAGGAGAACCAAAATTTCACAAAATAGTTTTTCCGTCCTTATTTCGGATTAGAAAAATACGTAGGGGAGAGTCCTACAGTACCGGCCGGCATCCAGTACCAGCCAGTTGCAAATTCTACAACCTGACAACAGATGGCGCTGAAATTTTTATCGTGATTTGTGCAATACACTCACGGGATGATATTCCCCGCGCGGCGTTAACTTGCAACGACAAGTTTACTTCCAGTTCAAAGATTTTAGTTGCGCGTGATGGACGCTAACTACGTAATTAAAATTCTATTCACAATTTTCGAAGTTCAGAGATCCAGTTTAAAACAAATAACTACTGGTAAGTAGAGTGTACTTATATATCTATAGAAAAGTGTCTTTATAGTTAACCTTTGTACATTCATGTTCGTTAGAAATCGAATTTAGTTTTTTTTTCGTTTCCTCCAGTACCGGACATAATGTTGTCCTACAGTACCGGCCATTCTATTAGATCGTTTTTAATTGTTTTGTTTTACTTTCAGATATACAAAAATGTCAAGTCACGGGAATGATGGTCAGACAACGCAAAAGAAGGGCACCTGGGATCCTGCCAACATGCATAAGGCCGTGGAAAAGGTACTGAATCATAAAATAAGTGCTCGTCAAGCCGCAGAACGCTATCAGGTACCACGATCTACTTTGAATGATAGAGTTAGAGCTATTAAAAGTAATAAAGAGATGTCTATTGAGCCAGTTATGGGTCGTTTTCACAATACTTTTGCACCAGAACATGAAGAAATATTGGCATCGCATGTTAAAGACTTGGCCAACAGGCTAATGCCTTTAAACAGACAAGAATTTTTACGTCTCGCTTTCCAACTGGCCGAGAAATTAAAGTTACCTCACCAGTTCAATAAAGAGAAACAATCTGCAGGGAAAAATTACTATTATTCGTTTATGAAAAGACATAGTGACTTATCATTGCGAACTGCTGAATCAACGAGTTTAATGAGAGCAGTAGGATTTAACAGGCCTCAGGTTATGCGATTCTTTGATGGTCTTGAGACTTTGATGGAGAGATTTAAATTCACACCTTATAAAATATGGAACTGTGATGAGACTGGAGTTAGCATTGTTCAAAAACATGCTAAAGTGTTAGCTACTAAAAACCAAAGGCAAGTCGGAAAGCTTACGTCAGCAGAACGTGGAAAGAACGTTACAGTGCTTTTTGCAATGAGCGCTGGAGGTCAGTTCGTACCACCTTATTTCATATTTCCACGAAACAGAATGAATGAAAGACTAATGATTAATGCTCCAAATTAGAGTGTAGGTGAAGCTCAACCAAACGGCTGGATGAATGCCGAATTATTTTTGAAATGGATGCAACACTTTGTGCAATATTCTAATCCAACAGCCCAGAATCCCGTACTCTTGATTCTAGATGGGCATGCTAGTCATAAAGACTTAGATGTCATTGAGTTTGCCAGAAAAAATAATATTCATATGTTAAGCACCCCACCTCACACGACCCACAAGTTACAGCCACTGGATCGTACGTTCATGAAGCCATTTAAATCTGCGTACAATGATGCATGTGACTTGTGGATGAGGGCAAACCCTGCTATTAGGATCAGTGAATACGAGATTGCAGGGTTTGTTGCTATTGCTTTTAATCGAGTTTCGCGAATGGATATCGCGGTTAATGGCTTCCACTGCACTGGCATACACCCCTTTGATAGAAATATCTTCAGTGATTTAGATTTCATTGGTTCCGACATGACGAATGTTACAGAAAGTCAATCAGCAACAGAATCATCGCTCTCACATTCTCAACTAACCGAACCGACACCTTCAACATCTGCTTGTTCAAATCTGTCAAATTCTATTTCTACACAGCGAGAACTTACATCCATTTCCTCTCGACAACTTGGATCTCAAACTCCAACTTCTAATTTATTAGCTGACATTACAACTTCTATACAATCCGAGACTCAAACTACTCCTACTCACGCCGAATCTGAAATTTTATCTATTCAACAAGTAGAAACTCAAACAGAAGTTATTGCTGATAAATCCAGAGAAAATTTTAAAGCTGCACTTACAGAACTGTCACCGGTTCCTGATGCTTCCAAAAGAAGAACTACTGTAAGACGTCGTAAAGCTGAAAGAAGTGAAATTATAACAAGTTCTCCATACAAAAGGATGCTGGAAGAGAAAAGGGCAGATAAAAGGAATGTCGAACAACTTAAAAAGAAAGTTAATGTTTCAGAAAAAGATGTTATTAAAAAGGGAAAAGCTTGCTGTCAGGAAGAGATGTCAGTAAGAAAACAAAAACAAATAAAAACGAAAACCTACCTCCTCCTCGTAGATCGATTGAAGAAACAGTTTGTCCTTTGTGTGCCGAATCTCACGAAGAGGATTGGATACAATGTGGAAACTGCAAGATTTGGGTCCACGAGGCTTGTGCAAACGTATCAGAGCTATCTGATCAGTATATTTGCGATTATTGTATTGTATAAATGGTTACTTAATCACTGGCCGGTACTGGAGGCCAATTTTTTTGAGTCTGATTTTTTCTAGTGTTCGAATTGCAATAATAAAGTTGATTACTTCTGAACCTACTAGTTGTTTATTATTTATATTAATAGCATAATAGTTCCTTTACACATATCAGAAGGTTTTAAACATGTAACCATAAGTATTTTGATTTTTTTGTTGATAAACCTTAAGGTGACGGTATTGGAGGACTCTCCCCTACATTATCATGCACATTATCATTGGCACTTTTCATTCTGTACAAAATGGCATAAATATAATTTCGATAAGCATTCCTGATGAGGCTTCTCCAGAGTTTTTTTACAAAATATGTGCCTTACTTTTCAGACGTTACCATTTATTCTACGAATTTGACGGCTATCAACTACCAGAACATAATAATATAGTACCAAAGTGCATTATGTCACAAAATCTTGATCTATGTAAAGATCTGTAAGAAAAATGGTGGTACTATTTGGATTACAAACCTGACCACTAAATGGCTTCAGAGATCATTATCTAGGTCATATTTCAGGTTATAGCTTAATTTTTACAACCATGCATTCAACTTGATCTGTGGCACAAACCTTGAACTGAATTTTGAACAAGTTAACCTAAACCAATTTAGCTGAAATGTTCTAACAGACGTTCGGTTCTCTTGACAATATAAATTAACTGCCGCTATTCTGAATCCAGTATGGCGGGAGCTCCAAAATGGCGATTCATCATTTTCATAGTAACCCTTATGATATAGGTATCAAATCAAAAAGCTTAATGAGAGAAATACAATGATCAAAGTGTTTTCATGCTGATTCCAATATACAGGGTGACTTCGAAGTTGAGTCATTTATTTTAACAGTGAGTAGATCTGATCAAAAGAGATGTTTTTTCCTTTAACATTTTTCTGGTAAAATTAAAGTAACAAAGTTATAGCCCTTTAGAAGTTTGAGTACTGCCCTGTCTCAATAATAATATTATGTGCTCGTGTTTGGCAACAACGGATATAATCCGCCTTATCGGTTCATCGCATCGGAAACAAAAAAGCGAAAGAATTTGAAACGCTCATCACGATGTTTTTACTACAATTTTATTCAGTTGTATTCAGTCAATGTGTCAGTCGGTAACGCGTGGCTCAAACGAAATAAAAAATGGCACATATTTACGAAAATGCTGAACTGGACATGATTCTTATTTACGGAGGGGAGTCTTTACAAAATGCTGCCGCGGCATCACGGATTTATGCGGATCGGTTTCCCAATCGAGCGCAACCAACCCCTCGTGCCTTTGTTAATGTATTACAAAGGGCTCGTGAATCAGGTGACTTAAGACCTCACAGGGGAGGGCATGCCGGTGCTCCAAGACCGCACGATCAAATACAGGTCCGCACTGAAATACTTGTCGGAAGGATACTTTATAATACAAGGTAACATTTTTTTAATTTTTATTTTATTTTTACACACATATTTTGGTTTATCTTCCTTCTACAATCATTATCTGAAAATTAATTACTCAACTTCAAGGTCACCCTGTATAGGCAGCCGCAAAATAATGGCTTATATTTTTCTTAAGGATCGTCCAAACCAACGCGTTCAGCTCGCGTCTACGGTAGCGTGCACGCTGGCGATCACTTATGGTGTACAAACTTTTAGCGACGTGTTCACCATCGATGCGTTCTCTGATTGGCCGCAGCGTCGGATGCAGCGTCTGTACGTGGCGTTGGCGATCAGATCGCGCTTGTTACGTTCTATATATATACATATATATATATATAGGTGAAAAATAAAAGCTTCCGCCTTTTGTTGGGTACTTCGACAAAATTTAAGCAAAGAGGACTTCTTTATACTTTTTAATTCTCTCTAGCTTTCAATGGACTTTGCCATCATCATCAGGAGCTGCAATTACAATGATAACAGTAGCAACAAAAGCGTAAAATGTATTTAAATTGACTCAACTTACAGTAGTATGTGAGGATGTTGCTAATAATTGTTGTTTACGCATAGGATGAGGGAAACGTCCAGTAATATGGTGAGAGCTGGATAGATGGTACAATGGTCAAAATTATATAAAATATGACAAGAACAAGTTAAAAACAGATTAAAAATTATTTAAAAACATTAGAGCATTACATCGTGAAGCCACTTGATGATTGCACAAAATGGTGGTCATGGAATAATGAGTGAGATGAACCTCCTTGCTTAAATTTTGTCGAAGTACCCAACAAAAGGCGGAAGCTTCAATTTTTCACCTAACTGGTCTAGACGACAATGACCACGTCTCAAGTTATATATATATATATATATATATATATATATATATATATTGAGGCCTTATCAAACCATGGTATTTAATACACTTGCACACTATCTCCGTACATGATTATCTATTTAACATTATGAGAAGTAGGCTGTTTTCATACCCACCCCAAATGCCGACATACTGTGACTGTGTTGTACTTACGTCTTTTGTTCCTCTTCCTCTTCAATAATTGCAGACAGAAGTAAAACTTCTTCAATTTCACTATCTGTATCAGACAACATTGTAGTGCCGTGACTCCAGCCTGGTGAACGCCTGAACAAACACGACAATGTGCACAACTTTTGTACGGGCAGTGTTCGCCACCGTGCACGCCATCGTGGACGCGAGCTGAACGCGTCAGTTTGGCCGAGCCTTTATTCACCTCTGCGATACAAGTGTCAGATGAAAGAGCTTGATGAGAGAACTGCAATAAACAAAAGACGTCAGTCTGAATCTAATATGACGACCGCCCAGAGATGGTTTTTATAATTACCATAGTCTTCCCTGTGGTGTAGCTACGAAGTTAAAGAGCTTTTTGAGAGGAATGAAAAAGTATCGTGACGTCATTCCAAATCTAATATGGCCGCCACCGCAGAACTGTGATTTATAATTTCCATAGTTATCCCTACAGTATGGGTATCAAATGAAAGAGCTTGTCGAGGGAACAATAATACGAAAAGTAACGTCATTCTAAATCCAATATGTCGACCGCCACTAAATGGCGATTTTTAATTTCTATGGTCGCCGCTGTGATATGGGTATCAAATGAAAGAGCTTAATGAGAGAAATACTATAAGCAAACAATATCAATCCGTAATTCCATATAACGATCACCGCAAAATATCGATTTATCATTAAATGATTAATATCTATCGACATTTTGAAGTATAATTAAAGTAAGAAGTTTTTTGGACTTCTGCTGATGAAATATTGTATAAAAAATATATGGAAATTACCAAACTAGTTCTTTGGCTGTTACTAGCATGAACTAAATATTTATGAGAAACGTTTTTGAGATTGCAAGTATTTAACCAATGATGAAGCTTCTTCATGTCAAGTTTTTGAATTAAAGCGTGTTACCTTTTGACAGCAGGACGGAAAAAATGTAACGCGCTTTTATTTGAAAAGAAGCTTGATTATCCTGTAAATATTTCCAATCAGTAAAACTTATTTTAAATTTTCAAGGTCATTTCATTAAATGAAAGCTTGTTTTCAAAAATGTTGTTTTCGTCTTATTTATTGCAAATGAATGTTATCCTAATAGCAAAAAAGCAACTGCCAGTTGACATTTTTAGCAAAAACGCAGGAGTTGATAGAACAAACACTACAAAAAATGTTGCATAGGCTCTCACAATGATGATGTGTAAGCGAAACAAAATCTGTCATAATATTGAAACCTCATTGAACAAACATCGTTGTGGCTGGACTGATTTCAAAGTGGAAACGCTCATTAGTCGACGTGCATATTGAGCTTTCGTTGGCGAGGTCATTGTAGCAGCGGGAAATTATTGCTGATTTTAATTACCTGATACCACTGTGTGGTTTGTTTGGAGTTAAGCGTTAATTTAATGCACTGGGCATGTCCAGAGATTTTCTAAGGCTGCCATACACCTATTGCGTCTGATTTTATTTATGCAAATTAAAACACAAGAAGTAACCTTGCCAGAGCATATAAAGTCCTTATTTGTTTTACTTATTGTCGAAGTTCCCATACATATTTCGTCATATTTCCTCCAATCTGGCTAACCTCACTTTGAATATTGGGTGAATGAAATGGCTGAGGTTGAGAAGCGTCAAAAATTAACTTTCAGGCAGGTATATTTCATATTTCAATTTGTCCGAAACATTTTATCCGGAGTGTTCTGTGTGTATGATGATGCGCTACCGTAAATTGATATTTTTAGCATGACCTCTTGGAAACAAAGTGGCAGAATCCAGTGTAAAGTTTTTCAGGCAATATATTTTTTATAAACACGCAAATCGAACAAAGTTTAATTGTTTTAAGTTGGACAACCTGTATATATTTTCAGTAAAATCGTTTTGTTCTGAATCCAAATAAATACTTACTAACTTTTTGAACTGGTTAAGTTAGCAAGCTGACTTTCGGAATAGTGAAACTGATGTATTAATAATACTATATTTCAGCAATATCAGTCGAAAAATTCGGAAAAGACATGTCATTTTCAGCTTTGTATCTTATACACGTAAGCATAGAAAAGCCATTGCTATGGCATGGTATTCTGACCAATTGACACGTTGACTGTGACGGTGAGGTGCGACATCTCTGCGCTTAGCATAGAACGAAAGAATAGTTATACAATGAAAACCATAAATACCACTGACGTCGTAATGAGTACGAGAGAGAACCGCGAGACGCATGCAATCCGTGTCTTAGAACGAGATAGAAGCATTTCGTTGCCTAGCAACCTTTCTAACATATAAATTGGACGTTTTTTGCGCTTCTCTCTCGTACACATTACGACGTCAGCCAAATTTTAACCTCACCGGATAAGGAGAAACCAGACAACGCAAATAAAATAAGAGAGAGATAAGGATGACTACAAAAATATGGCGTCCACGAAACAGCTGTGTCAAGGGGGGGGGGTGGCTTCCAGCAATATCAGCTGCAAAACAGCTACAAGGGAGCTACAAAACAAAACTGGAGGAGTGTGAATGATGGTTCTCCGCAATTCCTTCCCACGCTGAAGGTTAAAATCCCATTAGAAAATGGACGGAGTAGCACCCAAACC